TTGTTCACTCTGGATATTAATGTTATGCTAAAGTCCACCAGAGCAATAGGCAATGTATGTTGTAGGCAGGACAAAAGAACCACAGAGTGCTTTCATGGCTGGTCATAGTGTTTTTTTGTGTTAGTTCATAAGATATTTGATTTGATTAATATGTTATATGTATGTCCCAATTAACCTATTTAGGTTCTTCGAAGGTCTTCTTGAAGGCCTTAGTACGCAATCCTACCTCGCGCAGCCAATCAGCCAAGCAACAAGACAAAGAAGAATGGATTACTAATTCTGTGCCAAAGAAGTTGGGTCAGATTTTTGTATGTAAGTTCATTTGCTGCCTACAAATGTGAGTGAACTGAACATAAGTTGAATAATTAGTTTAAAGTGTTATTTGAATTAAAATACTAATTAACATAAGTGAACTGAACTTGAGAAAACATGTTGAATAAGCTTAAGATATTAAGTTGAACCAACAACCACACTGACAAACATTACAAACAAATTTGATTTTTGAAAGGTCAGTTCTTAATTTCACACAAACAACTTTGTTTGTTGTTGTAGAACTACTTTGTTCTATTGGCACAAAGACATATTGTCAAAGAAGAAAAATTATACCTGAAGAAACCTTTACAAACTAAAGCTTAAATAACCAAAGAAGGGAGAAAAAACAACAACCTATTTAACTCTCATACTGCTTTAACATGCTGCTCAACTCTAAACCAGAAGATGTCCCCTCCCCTTTGAATGAAACAGCAGGTCTTCAGCCCTCAGTGGCATGTTGTCATTAACATAAAAATGCAGGAAAAAAAACCAAAACATAAAACTAAGGCAAAAAGTTCAGGAGAGTCAGACTGAGATAAAACTGGTCCAGTGGAGCTGTGGTTTGACTGGGAAGCTCCCAGTAGGTGAGTGTTAAAGGCCGGGTACGCCTGAAACGAACTAGTTTGTGTGCAGTGTTGTCTGAAGGCAAAAGTGTTTGTATGTGCAGCCACACCAGAAAGGGTGAAAATCCTGGAAACTCACGGTGTTGCACTCGACTGTTCGCACACCAAAGTGACAAAAGTAATTATGTAGAGAATAAAACGGAAGTTCAGTCCCTCGTTTACTGTCGGAGGCGGCTCTACTAATCTATTAGAACGGCACAATGCTGACAATCTGCCCCGAGTGGCTGTTTGAGGTATTGCAACATCTAAATAAATAATTCTCCCCATTGACCTCCATTATAAAAGAGACCTCTGTAAAACTGTTCACAGGATACTTAAAACTGCAAAAACAAGGCATCTTTTTAATTCATTAAGATTTTATATTTGTAAAAACGTAAAAACTCAGAGTCTAGAAAAGCTATTTTTATTTTCAGAGGTAAGACGCACTACTGAGCATGTGCGGTGGACTGCACAATGAGGAAGTAAACCATGAAGCATGGAAACTATTTTTTTTGGCCCGATGCACTCGGCGAGCAAGTTTCATTTAACTGACTGGTCGCCATTTTCCAGTCCAGATTCCAGTTCTTGGAAAACATCTATGGGCTAAATTATCATAGTATTTATAGTACATGTGCACATTGAATTTTCATTTTATGTACATTTAACGGACAATAAAGTAATCTAAATAAAACTGACAGCACAACTGTGTCTGACATTGGCTCCATCTGTACAGTGATCGGTGGTCAGGTCTGTGGAGGAGTAAAAGCAGCTTCTACTTCTGTCACTTTTCTTACGAGCAACTGAGTGCGACACCGTGAATGTCTTAAAGCAGAGATTGCCTCAAAGTGCGGGCCGTCATTTTCTTTTTTTGAAGACTCCAAGAATCACAATTCTTGGAGTTGTTGTGTAACGACGAGTATGTGTTCGTTCTCGGTGACTCTTCACCCCGCCGTCGAGCGCGGCTGTTCGGAACAGCTTTACACACTTTAGTCTTTAGCCGCCGTCATACAAACTCTTTCCTCTGAAGCTTACAGAGGCCTTTACTGCTCGAGTTTGATACAGACTCAAACAACTCACCTCAATAAATAAAGGTTTACAGGCATGATGAAGCAGAGTGAGACACAAAATATACATTTACCCTTGTTGTAAGATTATCAGACATGTTGTGAGATATATCAAATCTTACTGCATTGATCAAAATATGACTTTTGTTTTCAAGAAATAGTCACAAAGAGGAAGAAGTATTTGACCGTCTTCTCCTTGTTACTGCTCATTTCAGACGTTACCATTAAGACAGACAGGAGCAGTAAAATAAATGACTTACAATATCCTGAAATACTAATGATAACTCTGATTTAAACATGATTTATAAATGTTATAGAAAGATTACGGAGGTTTGAGTCTGGTGGTTTCTGGTGAAGAACGTGTGCTTTGGTGCATCTGCCCAGCTATGATCTACTGAGTATACATTTCTCTACTTATGCATTCATTCATTCACAAACAATTCATATCTGTCTCACATGAAGCCAACAGTCGGGAAAAACTGCAAATATTTTCATAACAAGTCATAGTATCTTTTAATTTAGTCCTTTAAAATATTTTCTTAAAACTCTCTGGACAAATAAATCTGCTGTGAGTTTTCATTAAGCTCTTTGAGGCTCAAGTCAAGATTTAATGACTTGCTGAGATGAAAAGAATTTGCAGCTTTATCAATAATAAAAAAAACAACAATATGGCAATAGCTACAAAACTAAGAACAAACAGCACCAGTTAATTTCGGTGTCGTAGTTGATTCCACTACTGTAAGATAATACGACAACAATACGTTGGCAAATATAAATATGGAAAAAAAAACAAAAAAAAAAAACAAATGAAGCAAATGGTACAGTAGGTGTGCAAATCTGAACCAACGTCTGTGGCAGAAAAACAAACAGAGACGAGTCGAAGGAAAAGGCTGCGATTAAAGGGATACCTTGACATTTTAATTTTTTTCCAGCTACACAAGGTTTTTTTTTTTTGTCACAATATGGAGTCAGTGGTTTTTGTGTTGGCACTTGAGATGAGAGAGTCTGGGTGGAGCGGTGGATTGGTTTACGTGGGGAAAACGCCAACACGTTCTTTGGTGAAGCAGAGTGAGTTTCACCTGGCATTAAACGTACGATCTGTATCTGGACATCTTATCTGGACCAAACTCGCATAACAGTCAGAAAACAATCAGATCTCAGCCAGGTGTTAAAGACATCTGTACAGTTTGGCCACATTCTTGAAGCGATACTTCCACATTTTTTTGAAGGGGGGAAAGTGTTAAGTCGAGGAGATACCACTCGCGTGTCTGTACGCTGAATATGAAGCTGCTGCCGGCAGATAGCTTAGCACAAAAGACCAGAGAGCAAGCCTGTCTCTGTACAAAAGGTTAAAAAAAATCCTTTAAAGCTCACAAACAACACAATCTCTAGTTTTTCATGGGGTGGTACCAGACTACTTCTTGGCTGGGACCAGCAAATAGTCTGGTACATAACCCACTAACACTTCACACACATTATTTAACACTTTACAACAAGTTATAAAGTGTTAAATAATGAGTTTTAGAGGTTGGTAAGTTGTTTTTTTTTAACCTTTGGGCAGATCCAGGTAAGACGTTTCTCTGTTTCCAGTCTTTGTGCTAAGCTAAGTGTCTGCTAGCCGCTTCATATTCACTGAACAGACCTGAGAGTTTTATCCATATTCTAACTTTGTATTTCCCAAAATGTCTTCAAACCATTCATGTGAGAAATACAAATTGAAAGGTCAACAGTCTCGTCCCGTCTCACAGCTACAGATGAGCCCTTCTTCTGCAAAGGAAAAATAAGTAGAGCCCATAAACGTCCCTTCACCTGAGACTAGTCTGCCATCTGCCTGCCTACTGTGCACCTAATCTGAGATCCGATCGCAATGAAGTCTGAACGGAGATAAGAAGAGCGCTTACTTACACAGGGGTAAGTGCAAATGCAATGTATCCAGATACAGATTCAAGGTTTAAAGATTATTCTGTATTTTTCTTGTCGTCAAATCCCATTAAAAGACCAAAACTAACAACGAATGTATCCTACTGAGAGCCGCAGACAGGACGTGAGAGAGTGTGGAGAGTAGCACAGTGTTTGTTTTGGTCTCTTCATGGGAAACCTATAGAAAAACACCAGCCTGGTCCTTTAATGCCAAGTGGAAATGGGGTCAAAGTGTGTCCGTCTGTGTTTATGGACCAGCATCCAACCCTGCCGTCTAACCAAATGCATGCTGGGATAGGCTCCACCCCTGTGAAACAGATAAAGCAGGTGGGAATAATAGAAACGAAGAAAAAACCTGAGGTAGTGTGAATGTTTGGGCTACATGTTCATGTATGATCTCTACACACAATTCTTCCTCCTGCACTCATGTGATTTCTTACTGTTTGAACAACCTGAACAGTAGCAGTGATGAAGGCGAGACGACGGCGCCAAGGCGTGGCCGGAAGCAGACAGCAGGGCTGGGTATCGGACAAAATGTGGCAGCAATATCTATTCAGATCTGTACTTTACATATTCTTTGATCAGAAATCTTGATTTAAGCCTACATTTGAACCGTTTTAGCTGCTTATATTAAGACATTTAGAAATTTGAGAACTTTGGCTTCTTTAGTCCAAAGTCGCATGTTTTATATTCCTCAAACAGAAACTCAGGCGGAGAAAGGCAAAGATACTCTGCCTGACTGAGGAGTCAAGGAAAACTAAACAGGTCCAACATCAAGGTATCTCTTTAACTGAATGTATTTGAAGCCGGCGATGAAACAGATCGCAGGCCATTTAAGGCACATGTGTGTAAGAAAGGTTTATATAATTTCAGCTAACGAGCAGGACTATAGAAATGCTTCACTTAACGAGCTATAATGTGAAGACTGAGGAGCTCTTCACTCAGAGCTCCAGATAACATCTAGACACTTTATCAGAAAATAACTATCTCTCTACAGAAGTAGAGTACAATTTAATAATGAACCTAGCAAACTACAGTACACTCTAGACGCTAATTAATGATGGCTTGATGCATAGCATCACCCATAGATAGATGATTTTTATTTTAAGTAATATGGATCTTATTCAATATTTCACTGTAACATTGAATAGTGGAGTTAATAGTGTTATGGAGGGTTATGGCAGTGTTTGTTAAAGAGTCACAGTCTCACCCCTCTGTTTCTTTTTTTACCGTAAAGAGACAGAAATCAAGAGAGATAGGAAGAGAAACTGATTTGTGATTGTCATGAGTCTCTGTGTCGTCATTCCTCTGCAGTTCAATCAACGACGTGATCAAAAACCAGAAAAAAAAAAACAGGAAATACCAACAGGAGACAACAAAAAAAAAAAAGGGAAACAAAGAGAAGTTGTGAGTTCAAATGTTCTCAAAAGATGAAGAAAAGAAAACATCCCTGCTCCGCGTATTCAGGCTTTAACCTGAGCCGAATTAACTACTGAATAATCCGGCGTCCAAAACCATCACCAAGCCCAAGTGGATATATAATTTTCCAGATTCCAAAACCGACAAATCCCCGACTAATCAGACAGTTTTCTGATCACAAAATGCTAATATGAACAGAGGGAATAATGCTAAAAACAGTGTGTGTCAGTGTTTGAGGGCCCGGCTCTCTTCAGCTCTGCTGGGCCAGGACCAGAGAGGTGGGGGGGGTCTTTCTCCTCCTGCTCCGACTTCTGTAGTTTGTTGCTCCTCTCAGTTTCACATCGCTCTATTTCACACACCTCCTCCTCCTCTTTTACTTCTTTCTTTACCGCCACTCCTCCCTCTGCTTTCTCTGTCTCGGTCCTCTGGGGTTCAGCCTTAGATCCCGGAGGAAGAAATTTCCCAAATCTCGTCCCGTTCAGATCCTCCTCGAATTTCACCTGGAACGGTGGTAGCCCGAGCAGGAAGGCCCTGATCCTGCTGGGGGAGCTCAGGTCTGCGGGTTCCTCCTGGTTCTTAGTCACATCTTGCTCTCCTCCTCCACCTGCACTCCCTCCAGAGCTGGACCGGTCGCCCGGGTTGAAGTCCTCCGCCTGCTCTGTGCAGCCGGCTCTGGGTCTCTTGGATGGAGGTTGATCTGTGTTTCCATTGATCGTTGCCGGACTCGGCTCTGGCCCCTCTGTGCTGGGTCTCTTAGCTGTGAAGCGTTTGCTGAGGTTGAGAGGCAGCGCCTGTTCCGGGGGAGGGGTGATGGGAGAGCAGGGGGGCTTGGTGCTCAGGTCCTGGGACAGAGCCTCAGACAGTCGGCGGGTGAAGGTCTGGAACTGAGACGAGCCCAGACGAGTCCTCATCAGCTGGCACACCTGAACGCTGCAGTCCAGGTTCAAAGGCAGGACCCGTAGAGGGGGCAGAGGAGGCCGGTTCCTGGCGTCCCGACTGCCTCCTCTCTGGGCTGCCTCGTCCACGTTACAACCCGAGCAGCGGTTGTGCTGCTGGTTGAGCGGGTGGGGCTGAGGCTGAAGCTGGTCTCCGCTGGGATGAGGCGTGTCCGGGCTCCCGCTTTTGGGCTGGAGGGTGTAGATGGTCGGATGGTGCTGGGTTGAGTCTTGAGGCGTCACGGCCGGGCTCTCCGGGCCT